AAACGCTGCTTACCTAATTTTCTGCTAACAAGCACAGGGCAGCAATTCCACCCGGCCTTCCGAAGTGCATATCATCTGATGGAGCTCATCTGCTGTCGTTAGCGAACAAGAATGACAAGGAAAGATAGAATTCTTATGATATTAACGCTCAAAAATCATCTCGGATCACTGAGAAGCGACACCGACGGAAAAGTTCTTCGAAACATGAATGCTGAATTGTTCTTAATAGATTTAGATCGATTAAATGTTTCTTTATATCTGAGGTAGAGAACAACAGGTCGCCAAAATGCTCCACCCGCTCGGACTGCTAACAAGAGCTGTAATGAAGAGATATGCGCATTTGTTGCAGATGCGCGCGGGACCTCCTGCGACCTATTGTCTTCTGCTCCTTTCAATCCCTTCCATTTTTTGAAAACAACAAGACAGCTAGCGGAGACAGATCAAACATAAGGGCATGTAAGGTGATATGCATCGCATCTGTAGCCGAGTTGGCTATCCTTTTTGCGATATTTTTCAAAAAATTTTGGAGCTTCTTTGCAAGTTAATGGCAGTGGATCGGCAAAATGGACCCTTCTCGGATTTTGGTGGATTTAGGGAGTAGACGCCCCAAGTACACAGTAGCCCAAAACTCGCCTGCCAATAAGTGCGCTAAGTCCTAAAAAATCAGCTTCAGAGCTCCCCCCCCCCTGCCCACTTCCACTGAGTGGGCGAGGTCGGCGGAGTGTGAAGCGCATTTTTCAGGATCTAGCGCACGAAGTGGCAGGTGGAGTTTGAGCTACAAAGTGCTTGGGGGGGGGGGTCTACTACCCAACATCACCAATATTCAAGTGTCCATTTTGCCGACCACTACCTTTAAAGGCAGTGTCCGGGCACGTGGTGAGTTTTGGGGTTTGAGTGCCATGCGAGAGTGGCCCGCCTCAGACACAACATTGCGCAAGTGCGACGTCATAACGCTCGACCTAAAGCAAGGAAAAACGACCAGAAAGTGGGGAAACTTACGCCTTGGGGCGGGGCCCTCCGAGCTGTCCGGATTGCTCTGTGCGGCAATGTACGCATGGCGCCACAGTTAAACTGTAGGGTCCCGCAGCGACTCTGCGTCTCTGCCTTGGTGGGGACCGTCAAATTCAAAATTGTGCGGCTTTGGAAAAGTGTGTTCTCGCCGTTTTCGCGCCTTCTAATATTTTCGGATTGAGCGTTGCGGATAACCCCCGGTGAGTGGATTTTCTAAAAATCGAGTTCTTGCCCGGACTTTACCTTTAAGAGCGAAGCGCGACACTTACCCGTATTTCATCTCGCTGAAGTAAATCGTATTTACTCCATCTACCTCATAATGTATTGATATCAAAACTGTATGTATGTATGCTGCTGTATCAACCTTTGTTTTTCTAGCAGTATTGCATTATTCAAGACTGTTTATTCCACCTTTTTGCAATGCAGTACTATGTAATATACAAGAAGGGATCTTTCAACACTCTGCAAGAACAAGCAGGTGATTTCACAGGTAAATGTTATACAGATGCATTAGTTGACATCCACCCACACTAAGGATTCGATCAGGATGTAAAGCTGTTGTGTATTAATGGCTAAGTACTCTAAAAAGGGATTTGGGACGATATGTTTTAACAACAGTGAGTGCTCGGGCAATATATCTGAAGTTAATGTTATTAGTAGTCCTAGTTCTCAGTTGCGACTTATAATCAAATATTCCACATATTTGCTTTGTACACAACTTGAAACTGCAGTACTGAAGCTACTAGGTGTGCCACACCTGCGTTCTGCCATGTATAGTGTTGTAGAGCCATCCCTTATATTGGAACTTGCTCGCTCACTATAGGCTAGGTCGATATGGTCTCTGCGGTTGCGACGTACCCGCCGCACCTTGATATATTTGCGTGTTGTTATGGGACTATTCCTAGTGAACCCTCGGAATGTACGCCGATAGGCAGAGGGGGAACTCTTATGTTTTTCTAATAAATCGTCAATGACTCAACGCGTTCCATTACATATAGTGTGTGTCCGGGCCAGCTTCTCATAGATACCCTTGCAGCGCGCGCGGCGAATGCTTCTGCTGCCCTCAAAGAGACATTCCGTTCTGGCCTGTGTAGAGAGATTTATCTCCTTTGTTGTTTGCTGGTTTTCCTCGCTTCTCTTTTCCGTGTAAATGTCTGGAAGATGGCGGATGACTAACTTGACGTAACTGAGAGCTTTTTCGTGTTTTCACGTTTTTCCAGTGTTAGGCCTAAGACATAACTCGCGGGATTTCGTCAAATCGCTACATTCACGCGACTTGGCTGTTTGCCAGATATTTTCAATCGTGTGCGGATCCTAGGCGCATAGGCGCGTAGCTACCGTAACTTATAGCAAAAGCTTCAAGTCTGGCCCATGCATGGCCCAAGCGCTCTAACGACCAGTTACAAAGAGTCGCTGCAATGTCAGATCGCGTGAAGTATGCCTTAGGCCTTGTTAAGATTTGAATAGTTCCTGAAATCGTTTGTTCATAGCTACTCATACGTAGCAGCAGTGTCTAAGTGGCCGATTTTGTACAGTATCCTTGCTCCTTAGCCACATGAGCACTGATACCAAGGCTTCGTTTCTCAAATGTGCTGGTTTATGAGTTTGAATATTTGGAATTTACAGCGTTCATTAAATGGAAACGACCAAAAACCAGTTCTGCTTGTCTTCTTTTTTTGCCACTAATTCCAGTTTTTATGTAATCATCAGGGCCAAACGCGTGATGCGACTGTCGCAAAGAGGGTCGTAACGGGGCACTCAAGGTGAGGGGGAGGGGGTAAGAGCGGGCCAGTTTGGATTAGAATAAGCTTAGAAGAAAAGGGAGCAGCAAATAATTATTACATGTTCGTTACAAGGAAGTCATAGAATGTTATGCATCAATGTATCAGTGAAGACAAGCGAGCAACCTGCGGGCCTCCAGTATGACTGAAAATTCAAAAGAAACGCTTCTAGAACTCCAAACATCAATAAAGGCAGTTTGTGTTATAAAAAAATTGGATGTACCGATTTGCAGAACTTGCTGAAGTCTCGCACACTCGACAAAGGCGCAAAAGACTACCACTGATGACCATCCATGATTTATGAATCCTATTGTAATGTTTTTCATGCAGCCCATAAAATTTAGCTGTACTGTGGAGATACCCTGATATTCTATCTATGCGAAGTATGGTTTTATTGGTGGGTTTATGCCGCAAGAAGCATCAAACTTTCACGTATTATACATCTGAAAGAGCTACAGCTTGATAGGGCAAACCTTGCTCTACAAAATTATGAGTCACAACATCAAAAACCTTCAAACTCAAGATTTGTATTAGATGAAATGTCAGCTGTCTCTTTTTTCTGGATTTCTAGTTCTCGGCGAACAACTCTCAGATTGAACTGGTTTTTTTCTCTGGTAGACCCTTCAAAACCTATGAAGTAGCAGTTGCTGATATCTCCACGAACCTAATCATAAATGTTGCAATCTCACCTGCTTTTTGTAACTTTGTCTTTGAAATTCTGGTTCTTAGGGGTTACTTCCTGGATCGACCTACTTTCTTCACAATAGAGTTGTTAGTCTAAAATGGTTGGTCCTAAAGAGGACCGTTGGGTTAGAATCATCGGAGTCATCAAAAAGCCTTGTTCTCCGATTGTGAGGAGTGCAAACCTGCCTACACGACATCTGTATTGGCTAAACAAGACGAAAAAGGTACGATTCTCTAACGAGTGAAGGATACCAACATTAGTAGGCTATTGAGGATGAGATGTATGTATATCTGTAGAGCATCTGTATCTGTAGCATCGTTTATCTCCCTATTGTCGCCTTTGTATATTTTGCCTGTCTTTCTGTGCCTATCTGTATGTATATGTCCAAGAAATTCTATTCCTATCCAACTGGGTCAAACTTTACACACATGCGGGGGGATTACAGGCTGCAATTCGTTATTAGCCTCAATTTAAAGGCAGCGGCTCGGCAGGATGACGGCTTTGGTATATTCAACGTTCTTGGTTTCCCTGGATAAGTTAGTCCAAAACTGTACTTTACAGCTTCGAAAGACATCAGTAACCCGCTTTTCCAGACGTGAAAGCTTACCTGGGCGGACGGCGTATGCCTGCCCTCTAGAGCGCGGTGCTCGTGGGTGAAGACACCGTACCCATCTCGGCGGCAATTGGATTATTGGCTCCAGAAGCCACTTTCGAGACCCGTCCAAACAGCAATTTTCAAGTCTGGAAAAGCGGGCTATTGATATATGTTGAGGCTGCAAAGCACAGTCTTGGACTTGACTCATCCAGGAAAAGAGAACGATGAATATCTCAAAGCTGTAATTTTGCCGAGCCACTACATTTGATGTGACTCTTGGCAAATTTTGCGATAGGGATTTGGAGGTAAAGGGAGGTGAGCACATTGATAAGAAAACGTTCTTCATTTGGAGAGTGTCGACTGCCTTGAGATCTTATCAGATTTAAACTTTGGTCTGGGGTGCTGGGAGTTGGCGAAATGCGGTAACTGAACCTGCTGCTTACGAAAGTAACAATAATCCTATCAATTTCGACTTTTCCGCGAGATTCGACATGAGGCGCTAGAGTTGGTACAGGAGGGGGCGGGGGGAGGAGAAAGCATTCATTATGAGAATACGATGTGGGTAGGAAACTAGAATATGGAAATGGAAAAGCGAAGTGTTGTGCAGTAGTGGAAACAATGATGTGTTCCAGTATTTGACAAGAACGAGCGGAGCCGTAAAGCGAGAGTAGAAACCGCTGGTGCACTTGTCAACTTGTTCCAAGAAGAATAGTAGTGGCAAAATGCTATGTTTGTCCCCCGTGCGAAGTAAGTGCATTTCAACTCCATATTTTAGCGAATTTCTGTCCTGGTATCTATTCGTGGCTGGTTGCCAGGTTGCTTGGTTGTGGAAAACATGCTACCGATTTGTCCATGAGACTTTGCTTGACCAATCATTCACAATCTGAATCTTTATATTGTGGAAGAAGTAAGTTTTGATCCAATATTTTTACAAAAATTCACAACTGATACTCTATTTGCGATACTGTTCAAGTGGTTGTAAAAGCTTAGAAATCGCGCTGCATGGCTCAAATTCTTGATCTGTACAGTAATGCTGGTGAATGGTCGAGTCTACCAGCAATGAATACACATCCTAACGGAGAGAAGAAACAGTTGCGATTGGCTCGAAGAGCTACCGCGTAGTCGAATGCGCTGAAAAACAATTCATTAATATTTTATAAGCACCGTTACATTTCGAGCGTCAGCTTCTTCAATTTTTCAAACATTTACTTAACACTCCTTGTTTACTCAAAAAAATTCTGGTTCACTTTCACTGTCTCTTTAATTCCCTGAAAAGTGATCGTTCTTATTACACAAATTCTATTAGCTTTAAATATTTATCAGAAGTAACCGGAATTTAACAACAACTTCCATAGGATGTGTATTTGTACTGTTTAAAATAAATAACAATGCGTTAATCGGCCGCGTGTATATTTAATTCTTTCAGATGAGAAATTGTTGCAAAGACACTGTGCTGAATACAGCTTCGGAAAACACTGGTTTGTTACTAATTTTCCATGGAAATTTCCTTAACTAGCAGATATTCAAAATTTTCGAAAAATTTGTGTTGATAGCCTTTCTAGGTCATTTGTTTTTTGCTGGTTTACAGTATAAATTGTGTTAATTGCATGTGTATTGCAGTTCAAATTTCATGACATAAGCAACCTTGGTTAGTGCGAAAATAGCCAAGCAGTTTTCATATTATGAAATGTTTAAGTGCAATGACTTTTCTTACATTTATGAGTAGAATATAGGCAAGAAACTGTGGACATACTTTTTGTCTGCATATATATAGGCTGGTCTCAGCATCATCACTACCAGAACTGCTAAGAGTACCCAGTAGTCTGAATATCGCATACTGAAAGAAAACATGCAGTACTTATACAACACGTTCACTATTCAAGCAATATCTCATTTGATTGGTAAGAAGAAATAAGATTACGGATCATACATATTATGGCAAAAATGTTTTAAGAGAAAATAGCACTGTTTTGATCTTTCGAGATTGTTACACTGCTGTAAATACGGTCAAAATACGGACAAAATACGAACGTAATAGGATTAGATTGTAACATAAGTCTTGCTTTACTTCAGTTTCTTACGGCAATAAGTCATATGTTTCATATTTTCAACAGAGCCGAAGCGCCATTCAGTAGAGCAAAGCAAGCTCTACAAGATGGTTTGCAAAAGTTCGCATCAACTTCGATCCACTGTGAGTTTGCATCCAAAATCTGAGTCGTACTGAAGGCTCAAAAATCGCGAAGAATTCATATCTTCGTTTAAAAATCCTACATTTCCAATTTGCTCACGAAAATCACAAAAACTCGCTACGTCGGACACTCGAATGTAACGATCGTGTATGTCTCTCATTTGGAAATCGAGAAAACGAAATTTTCATGTTTCTATAGAAGCGAAGCTATGCTGTTTCCAGTCATGCTTATACTGCAAGCCCTGGGAGTATAACCGTCGATTTTCTTAGTTTACCACAGGTTCTGGTTTTCAAAAATTATAGCTTTCTTCAATCGGGTGTCACATGCTGAAATCAATATTTCTCAAAACTAGGGCTTGTGGATAGCTTAAAATTTACGGTTATACTTCTAGGGGATTGTATATACAATTACATAAGTGCAAACAACATAGCTTCGTTTTTGTATGAGCAAAAAAATTTCGTTTTTTATTCCTAGATGGAAAAAAATACAAGAATGGTACATATGAGTGTCTGATGCAGTGTACAATATTTGGTGGTCTTATCCAACGATACCGGTATTCACAAGGCTAATGGTTGGCGAAGCCAATGCTTACCAGTTACGGAGTATCCTGCCATATTATAGCTTTTCAGATTTGGTCTGTGCAAGCACCTGTTAAGGAAGTCAAAAAGATGCGCGTTAGTTCAGAGACTGCTCAGAGTAAACTCATTAAGAAACCCAGAATCGAAATCGGCTTTGCGGGTGAAATACAGTGCTAGCCAAAAGTTTACGGCTACCCTGGAATTTTGCTATAACTTACTCTGTTTCGCATATAACGGATTCAAAGCCTGATATTGCGTGCAAATCACATTCCTCAACAATATGCCTAGAGATTTTGCAGTTTTATGCACAAAGAAGGGGGCCCTGCGGGAAATGGCGAAAACGGCAAAATCGCAGTTAATCAAAAACTTGCAGCCCAATCTTCTGCTAAACATCTTTGAAAAAAATTTTCACCTTCTATATTTGTGCTACAGATACAGTCCTAAGCTTAAAGGCAGCAGTTCGCCGAAACCGGACGTCCCGAAATTTTGATATGGAAGGTTGCTTGCAACCCAAACATAAGAACAGAGCAGGTTCGAGCGCACAGCATGCTGCCCTTGCCTAAAAAAGTGCCCCCAAAACCCGTTACGCGCAAGCCATTTGCTTCCCGCGAGAATCGCAAGCTCATCCGCGCGCGCGGATGAGCTTGCGATTCTCCCTGACCCGCCAGAGAAGACATGCTGCAATGTTATAACCGCGAGGGTCCCGCAACGATTCTGCTTCTCTAACCATGGCGGGACGTGCTTCACTCGTCCAAATTCAAAATGGGAGGCCTTGGGAAATGGTGGTTCTTGCCATTTTCGCGCTCTTCAAGGTGGATTTTTGGAAACAGCGCCTCCAATTACCCCAGACAAGCAAATTCAAGTCGAAAACTGCCGGGCCGCTGCCTTTAAGTTATGCAGTGCAGCCAGCATTCATTAAACTTAAAAGAAGGGAACTTTACGGAGCAAATTTGCTTGAGCGCCAGATGACCGCAAAATTTGGATAGATCATTAAATTGTCGAGAAGTAATCTGCTGATCTGTGCTCCTATGGAAAGGTTGTTCCATTTGGAAGGTGGTGGTTGGCGAATGTGACGGAAAAACATTACTTGGCATGCGTTGGAATCTAGCATCACTTGACTCAAATTCGGAGCACCTTTCAGCTCAAATATCGGGCTCAGCTGTCTGAAAAGTCTTCAAATATGATAAGGACCCTGCTTAAGAGAGGACTGGTCCGAACCTCACAGAGCTCCACGGAAAATGCACTGCATGTTGGAGAAAGTTTGCATTTTCACAACTGATAATTCACTTGGCAAATCGAACATTTCCTAGGTGTAATAATCGCACAAAATTTTTCGTAGCAGTAGCGCCTCTATGTTTGCAGTGGAGCTCTGTGAGGTTCGGACCAGTGCTTTCTTTGTAAAAGCAAGGTTCTTATCAGATTTGAGAAATTTTCAGACCTTGACCCCAATTTCTGAAGTGGAAGGTGCTCCGAGTTAGGCAGTAGATTCCAAAGCATGTCAAGTAAAGTTTCTTCTCTCACATTCCAAACCCGCCACCCTAACGTTTGAATGGAACAACCTTTCCATACAAGCAGATCAGCCGAACTCGACAATTTAATGATCTATCCAATTTTTGCGGTCATCTGGCGTCCAGCAAATTTGCTCCGTAAAGTTCCCTTCTTTGGAGTTGGATGAATACGGCTGCACTGCGCATTTTAAGGCTTAAGGGTGCATCTGTAGCCCAAATATGGAAGAAGAAAAGTTTTCCAAAGAAGTTTGGCAGAAGGTGGCTGCAAGTTTTTGACCAACTTCGTTTTCGCCATTTTTCCTCAGAGCCTTCTTCTGTGTGCATAAAACTGCGAAAATTTTAAGTATATTGTTGAACAGTGTGATTCGCACGCAATATCAAGATTTGAAATCCCTATGCGAAGAGTGCAAGTTATAGTAAAATTCCAGAGTGGCTGCAAACTTTTGACCAGCACTGTATACCCAATCTGATGAGCATCACATGCTATTACAAAATTGTCTTTGTTTTTCTCCAAGTCCCTCTAACGCTCCAAACTAAGTAAAATCAGTGTGCTGCGGCTCGGTGTGCTCAGCACCTCACCCTGTGCTCGTCCGCCTAACTACACAACTCCTAACTCCAGGACATACAGCTTCGGAGCTAGTATGCGCACTCCTAGCGCGTCTGCCCGACGCCAACACCTCTCTAACCTGTACGACACAATATCACACGCACGACTAGTTCAGATTACATTTATCTGAGAATACACAAAATAACAACAACCACTAAAACGAACAAGATTACTAAAACTACTAAAACCACTAAAAACTACACAGATTACTAAAACTACTGCTCCAGGATCAAGAAGAATAGGCACGGGACAAGCCGCCTAGTCCCGTGCTGCCGATGCCTAGTTGATCAACTCTAACAAATAGTTCCGGGTTCTCCGAAGGGTCAACCGCAAGTCCCTAGCCCTTACGAGACAGTGTGACCCCTCTCCACTCCCGCAATCCTTTCCTGCTGCTCGTTAGACTACAATACTAGCTGCTCGTCGCCATACACAAGAAGATCGTCAAGGGCTCAACCGCTCGAAACCGTCGATCATCTGCGGGAGCTACTGGAGGCGCTGCCAGCGGGTTGATATCATCAAAAATCGATAACGAACAAAGCTCGAAGAGGCGTGGACCGCAGCCCACGCGCCCTTATGTACCCTAAGACTGGCACGAGAGGTCTCGGCGCGATATTGATAGCGCGTCAAGTAACGCGACAACCAGCGCTCCCGGCCTCCTGTTTCGAGGAGTGGCTTGCATCGCGCGAGCCGCGACACAGTGGTTATGGTCTTTCCAGCGCCTAGATAGAAGAATGTTGAGTACGAGTGTATAGGCAAAAGGTTTTTGATGCATGGAATGCTTTGTTCAAAGCTGGGCCATTTGTGCAGATAGATTAGACGAATGTGTTCCTGTTGCGCTTCTGATTTTTTGAGCCAGAAAATGCTTAAAACTTAGCGTCTAGAGGCGCTTGGCAGATAACAAAGAGAGTTTAGAAATCAGCGATTTGTGCTCTTCAGAATGGTATATATGTGGAAAGCTGATTTCGACTTCAGATCCTCTACTTGTGGGATGTCTGTGGTTTTCGATAGGTTTACTACCAATTCAGTTTTAATAGTGTGCTAAAATCAAGCATGAGGCAAAAGTCGGAATGGTCACAAGGGAATCTAGCAAATTTTTTCAATTTCTTGTAAAGCAGCAGCAGTAACTTGAAGCTACGGAAATGCATTTTGATCTGTCTAGACTTTGAATCTTTTGGGAAATCAAAAGAAAGTTTTTTTCAGCAAGAGTGCAAACCTCACTAGCTACTTCACCGAAAAATCAAAGTATCGATCTCGTATATCTAGCTTACCTTAGAGATTGTACTAATGAATAGTTGTGAACGAGAAACATAATATAAGCAGGAACTCTTTATACAACAGGACGATATAAGGAAGACGGTGAGGAAATGCAGAGAGACGATGGAAGCGTAAGGTGTCCAGTGGAGGCGCTTGTGGATACGGATTGCTCGGTAAGACAACGCAGAGGCTTCTGATTACCTTTTGGCAAACTCATTGGGTTCGTTGATAAATACAGCCACTGTATAAAGTATAGGCGGTTGGCTTACTGAATTTTATGATTTGCTAAGAACGTGACTAATTTTGATCAAAAACATGAAATTGAAAAGTAGAATTCTCTTTTTGGTGCCGCGCTTCTTGACACTTCTTGACACACAAGAATTCTCATGAGCTGACATTCGGTACTTTTTGCAAGGTGTGTTCGTTGAGTTTTTTGTAAAATGCTTCGAAATAATTTAATTGAATATTTGATAACCAAATAAGTTGCTTGCTCGAAGAAATGGGAGTATTTCATGTGGTAAGGACTAAACATCTTCTTGCGACTGACAAATTTTTTGGATCATAGAGATTGGATAGCTGGTAGAGAAGCTTTTGCGTGCGATTTCACATAAAACACTGCCTTGCAATTTTCATTATCTCAGGAATGACCGAAATGCATGCTCAAATGCTTTTCTGAGGAAATCATATTTTTAGTGCTTATTGAGGAGAGAAGCATTCAGAGTATGTTGTACAGAAATACGTCTTGCGCAAAATTTGAGATTTTTTGTTTGGGTAACAATCTCGATTGCGTGCTTCTGGTGACATTGGCGATTCTGTTCAAAATAGCGGAGACAAATGAAGAAATAGTTGTAAACGGAAAAAGCGCTATAAAAATCTTCCATGCTTAGCTTTTACAGCGTTTTCGTGACCTGCCCATAAAAGCGCTTGTGTGGAGGAAATTTTGGGATTAGCGTTTCAGGCTCTCACTAATGGTTTGCGCCTTCAAAATCGGCCATTTCGAGTTTGTGACCTTTATGACGTTCGCGACGCTTCTGTGAAAGTATAAAAATTTGACTTTGCTGATTTGCATACTATTCAAAGTGAGTTGTAATATGTAAGCGTTAGATCAGCACACTCTTCTCATTTAAGAACCAATGGCTCTATAAACCATTGCAAGGTGAATTTTTGAGGAACAAGTCCATATAACCAGAGATATGATCTTGTTCTTCAGCTTCTAACTTTGAATCTAGTCTTCCTTAGCAAAGCCGCCAGAACACAGTTACTTTCATGGCCTTTTTCGGAAAAACAAATGAAAATAAATTACTCGAGATTTCAAAGTGTACGAATACTGGGAGAAAAACAGCGGCGGAATATGTCAACTAGGCTCAAGCTGTCCAGATCATCGTATGTTTTCGCAAAGTTGATTGAACGCAGTAAGTGACCCAAATTCACTGTTTTCCAGCTTAATTAAATGTTGCAGACTTCGCTATCATATATTCAAATGTAGCAATAGCGACAACGAGCGAGTGACCGGTATAAAAAACAAAACGAAATAAAACCCACAGCTCAGTGGTTAGCAGCTCCAAACCACTACGCCATTCCTCCCTATTTTAAGCCAAATTAGTGCAAATTTGACGAATTGTTGAACGCGATCCCAGGATATTTTGCGCAGATTCATGTTGCCCTGTATCTTCCTTTACAATTATACTAATCTTAATTTTCCATAATTCAATCTGAAGATCAAGGAGCTGCGCTGCAGCTCAGCACATTACAGAAAGCAGAAGTAGTATCGCAAGAAAAAAAAACTGGCGCAAGTGCCTTCGCTAATCGCAGGAAGATCCTACTACGAGATTACAACTATGGAGGAGTTTCCGCAAAAAGTAAGCAGAGTATAATTCAACAAAACTTCGAAAAGCAACTTGCGATAGAAAAATCAAGGATGAAGGAACGCGCCCGGCAAACCCGACCACATTGAACATGTACCAACGCACTCTATTTATGCCAAAAAACAAATGCGTTCTAATTAACACATTAGAATGCGGTGCTTTGCGACTACCAATTCAGTTCTTTTGTCCTTCTGAAAAGCTTTTTAATCAGTTTTTTACACTACACACTAATCACTTATGGGCCACAAAATAACTTTTGACTTAGGAATTCAGTTGATCTACATGATAGAATATATTGAGTACACAGTTATACTGTTATGTTAGAAATAGTGTACTGTTAATATATCGTTAAGCTAAAAACGTCTCAGTCGTAGCTACATCCAGTAACTATTTGTTACTGGATGTAACTATGATTAAGACACTCATGAAGCGAAAAAAAGAGTAACGACTGTCCAATTCATGTAAATTGGGAAAGCCATCAATATGAGCAAACTGATAGATACCCGGAACTGAGCCAAGATCGAGTGCAAATGAAAAATTATAGAAAATTCAAGTACAGTGTGGGAGACTCTGTTCTCGCAAATACATGAAGATAGAGAAGTCATGGAAAGCAGCCTTTTGAGGTGTTCTTCACAAGAAAAAACAGGCTAACAAATTTTTGAAAGTGCTCGTAATTCCATCAACAAAGACGTGGGAGGAATATTTTCTGGTACATACACGGGAGGTCACAATTTCTATAGTTGATTTGAAGATTTGGTTCTAATGTTATGGACCTTTAGGGGAATATTCTGCCCATGTGGCTGGTAATTTCTCTCAGGAGTCCTATAGCCAAGCACTACCTTAGCATACTATATTGATTCCCCCGACAAATGGGTTATACCGAATAAAAGGTTTAATGGAAGGTTTTCGAACGCAATCCCGGATTTGGAGAGCAAATCGATATGTATAAAACTTGATAATCAAACAAAAGTACAACCCATCTTTTGGGCTAATCCGTCACTCCCCGATAACCGTTGCGCGCTAGGGTGTATAAATTTTCATATTCCATCATGTCGAGTTCTCCTCCACTTTGCTAAACTAAAATAAAATCATTAATTACAGGGTGTCACAAAAAAATGTATCGAACGTTTGATTGTTAATATCTCTCTTCCCAAGAAGTCTTTTGCCTTGCTTCAAGTACCGTTTTGTAGAGCTGCCTTCAACTTAGATTTGGAGTATGGATCGAATCACCCATCTCTTTCATTACTGCAGGATTACGGTAGAAACTTGAAACATATGGTGTCAATGTGGAAAAAGCTGCAGTTTCAAAAATTTTCAAAAAAAATGTGAAAACTTGTGTATTGGGGTTTTTATGGACGCTGAGTTCAATACTCAACTATGCACAAGATTACGAAACTTTCTAAACGGTGTAACCGCACTTTTTAGAAACATTGAAAAAATGGCTGCTACCTCTTACCTGGGATAACCCTTCAATGAAGCATCATAATAAATTCGGAACTTTACAGTTATAATTAGCAACTCTAATTAGCCTAGTGTAAAAGTTATCAGGCTGTTTTATTTCCTTTCTGGGGCAAAATACGGCCTTTCATTGCTTAAAACCCTCTTTGAAGTTTCTACCGTAATCCTGCAGTAATGAAGAGAGATGAGTGATTCGTTCTATAATGCAAATCTAAGTTGAAGCCAGCTCTACAGATTGGTACCTGAAGCAAGGGAAAAGACTTCTATAGAAGGGAGATATTAACGATCAAACATTCGATACATTTTTTGGGACACCCTGTATTATTACTATAATCCTCAAGCACAACATGCTCCGTATAAAAGTGGGTTCTGCTTCAGAATGCATAGCTTTGCGTTGAGCTCGTAGGTCTTTGGAAAAGGCACGGTGGATGGGTCAAGACGAATGAATAGTCGAAAGGATAAGTTACAATCTGGGCCCTGCTGTTTTGTTGCCAGCTTAAACTGAATGTGCTTAAGAGCTAGACAACGATGCTTTGAAAGGACGAACAGAAGAGTAGCTACTTTACGTCTATTCTTGTAGCCTAAAACATCGTAAATGTTTACAATTCTAGATACTCCCAAAAATTTGCCCGCAATTGCAAAAAATTTTTCATCTTCATCTAACATGAGTCTTCTACATGAACTAAGGCAATTTCTAATTTCACGTGCTACTACTGTTTTGGGTCATCGAGAACATGCGATATCTAACGCTCAATCAGCTGTGAAATGATGACGACATCTGCATGCCTCCGAAAAAGTTTGCTGTCAATGAAAGAAAAACATTGCCAGCCTCTGATAGCACCTTTCAGCTTTGTTAGAGTCGCGTTCCATCTTTTCGTCTTACAAGGGATGATCCTCAGCTACCATGGTTATAAGATTTTTATTAGTCCTTGGAACGCTAATTTCTAATAGGCCTTTTATTGCAGTTTTCAACTTGAAAGGCACCGAGTTTGCCCGCCTGGGAGTATAAATTAACCCCAGCAGTGGGTGCGCTGAGCTTAGGTGTCAGGGTGAAAATCCCCATATAGCTTTTATACGGTCGGCACCGTGAAGGCGGAAGAATGGAATAAATGATAACCAGTGGCAGGACCATAACGAGTGAACCATGCACAGACTGGAGCATGACTTGTAACTTTTTACCAACAATTCACTAATGCTTAGCAAAGACCGCATGCACATTTGAAATCAGTGTTTCAAAGCGAATGTACTTGCATCCATCCTACCCCAAAACCTTTCACTAAATATCTTTTCTTGCTAAACATCATATTCCGAAAAAAACATTTATTACCAACAAATACATCTAACTGTTTGTACAAGCATACTATTGATTGAGCAGTCATTCAGCATATACAGGCAAATAAGAATCAGCTAAACTGCTATCGCATCACTTTCCGATGATGTCTCCTTTGTGAGTGTAAACGTGAAACTTCATTGGTACTGGAAAGGAACAAACAACCAAGAGGCGAGAAGAAACAATTCCGATTTGCTCTTGAGGCTATCGCATGGTCCATCGAACTAAAATGAAGAATGTGTTGCACGAGACGTAGGTGTAATAATGATGAAGTTATGGATCACTACATCTGTTGTCATGAAATCACAGTTGCTTCTAGACATCATCTATAATCTCCCCTGATATCATCATGATATAGATCGTGCTCGTAAGCTTTTGCTCCAGCTTATTGCGAAAAACAGATAAAATAAAAATAATAATAATGAATCATTTTTGAACACATCGTATGTAGACAGACTAAGGATGATTGGAGTGTTGTAAATGCCGGTGTTATTCGTTATTTCGACTGTGAAAAGCAGTCGCAAGGCATCTAATGCAGATGTGTTTTTTCAAAAGACTAATCTCCCAATCAGCAAAGCTTATGGTAGAGGGATCAAAGACAATTTCCTGTACACAAAAATAATCTCCCTAGCGTACATTTTTATTAGAGAATGTTCAGGTACAATGAGCATCAGTTAACAAAGTGAGCGCACAGTATTATAGTTGGTTGAAGCGAGCATTCATATGAAGAAGAAAAAGGCCACTACCTTTGAAGATTGAAGGATATCCATTGGAACCACCGGAATGTTTCAAAACTAGCCGTTTTCTACCTCTTTTTTTCTGAAGCTAACGCTGAAGAAAAAACTACTTTGTGAACTTTATACCTAAAAGGCTTTTCTTTGAAATTTCCAAGTAAGCTCTCATCTTCCCAATCTGTTTAGCCTGCGGTATCGTGAAGCAAGTGTTAAATTCTCTCCCTCTTCTCTATTACCTGATATCCACAGGCAAAGGCGGAATTTTTTCAGAGCATGGGTGTTGTATGCTATGCTAAAGGATGTGCTAAATAATGCTTATCAAAATATAATTTTGGAAAATTTAACTCAGAAATCTTTAGCGTAAACTTGACTTGTCGTTATTGTTATAAGTTGCATAAAAATCATAAGCGCGATTACGACACCTTCGCTCTATGCAACAGGGTTGGGCCTAGTGCCTTCCATATCGAAGGAATAAACAAAAATTTCTGGGTAGAGGACATTAGGTCGCCGAAAAAGGGCGGTCCCCGCGGTCATTTGCGACAAACACGCACCCTTGTGCATGCGCGGACATGCGTTCCTGCAGGGAATCCGCGCGGGACTCTTCCAAATTCGGCGACCTAATGTCCTCCACCCAAAATTTCTTGATCTGTGCAACTTAGATTTCTTAAAAAAGCACCATATTGCCACCTTAGTAGAAACCAATCAAGTGAGCTTTTTCTAGCTTTCATTGTAGAATTTTGAAAAAGTTTGGACGAATTTGAGGTTGAAATTACTCATCGAGCTGAGCAGGGCTTGTGCTATTCAACTACATCTCACTATCAGACTGAGTCATGGTTTATCGAGAGAGAGGCTTTAGAAAATTTGTTCCTGTAGTTTTTGAACTTGTTGCAATAATTCTTTGGCATAATCAGAAACGCCAAAAAACTTGTAGATTGCAAATACATTCATCATTCATCATTACAAATATAAAGATTATATTTGCAATGACCATCTCTGGGTGGAATTACAATGGAACAGAGTTAAGCTAGAACGTGTAGAGCTTTTGCAACAGACCAATATATAAATACGATTGCTGCAAGTGACTCACTTTTTGACGGAGCAGGAGCTAGGCACCAGTACTGCGAAGGCTGACAGCAAGAAAAAGTATGTCCATGCTTGCATGTTGGAAAGATTGTCCTTTGGTACCTCAAATGTTCTTTGTTGAAAGAAAGGCACATAGAGTAGTTAAAACGATGAGAATGGTACGGATACAAATCAAATTAGTGTGACCGATTACCCGCGTTGTCAAATATATGTTTTGTATGAACACTAAACGATAAGCTCGTTTTTTATAAGCTGATCTGCATAACGCTTGCCGCACGCCTCTCTGGTGACCAGTATTATCGGATTTGTGTAATCGCATATGTTGACTAAAAAGCTTTTGATAAAGTGAAGTGCTCGGTTTTTCTTCATGAAATTATGCAACGCTATGCACGAGCCTTCACCAGGAACTTTCCGGGGAAGTTGCCGTTGATTTCACGAAAAAAAAACGACAGCTCTATGTGTGCTCAAAAAAAGCACGAATCCGAAAGAACGCTGTACAAGCATTGGAGAGAAAATGTTATATTTTCTACATCGGCGACATGCTGTTTCCTGTTCACCAGTACGGAACATGGAGCGGAATTGGGCCACTATCTTGATCTGAATGACTTTTGTCAGTTGGCACAACTCTAACGGGGAAAAGATACTCAGTGTCCGTAACGTAACCTTTCCACATGTGATATATGCCATGACTTTCGCCTTAAAACGTTGATCTTAAAACTGTTCCTTACACAATTCCCAGAAAAACGTTCTTCTTTGCAACGAACGTGCTTGCGCAAAAGTACGAGTAATGTTGGTGAATACTAAAGGTGTTAAATGGTCCAGCGATTAGCGCCATAGTTTATTGCTCAATCGACGCCGGCCCGATCTCTCTCGGTGCAAATATTTTTTGCGTTCGCTTTTTCAAGCGCTATTTCTTCTCAGAAAAACGTTTCGCAGATAACGAACATTGTTTCGAGATTAATGCTTCAAGGCAAGCATTCTGATATATAGCATGTTCCGAAAACCACGGTGACCAGTTATCCTTTCCTTGTAAGTTAGAAAATTTGCCACGCCTTTGACATAAATAATCAGGCCAACAATATTGTTGATACACAATAAATTAACAAAGACTTTATTGACACTGAGAACTCAATTGCTTTCGATTTAGCGAATTTGCGTGGCATCAGCTACAGCGAGTAGGCCAGTTCTTCAGTACAAAAGAGACATTCTTTCGCAATGATAGTTCACAGCTGAGTATAGTCGAGTGAATTTAAATTCAAATATGATGTTCTTATATCACCGACATTGCGCGTAAATGAAGGTAATCGCCTTTTCACCATTGTTTTCGCACAAGCATGTAGTTGGCATTGGATAGGGGAATATATTAGGTTGCTTCATAATTAATGCACGTTTTGAATTTCAACCGCAATAAGTTATAAACTTTTCATTCTTGTATAGGCTTCAAAGTACCTTTAGATAGAGCAAAGCAAGCTCTACAAGATGGCACTCATGACTTTGCGCCATGCTCGATTCACGGAGAGTTCGAACTCAAAATCTAAAGATTTCCAAAAGCCCAAAAAATCGAAAAAAATCAGATCTTCGTCCAAATAATTTCTACGGAACTCCCACTCGCTCACATCAATACTATCGATATCTGATATCCATATGTGCGATTGCGGTATTTTTTTCTTGACTAGAAATTGAGAAAACGAAAATTTCCCTGATTTTCTCAAAGCAATGCTGAGCCGTTTTTGCATATGTAGTTCTATACTACAAGCCTAGGTAAGTATGACTGTAAATTTTCAGCCTATTTCGGACGGTACTTTTCGAGAAATGTTGATTTTAGCACTGAAACTGAAACGAAAAAATCCGAATTCGTTATTTTTCGAAGACTACCGCTTGGAATGGGCTGAAAATCTACAGTTATACTTACCTAGGCTTGTAGTATAGAACTACATATGCAAAAACGGCTCAGCATTGCTTTGAGAAAATCAGGGAAATTTTCGTTATCTCAATTTCTAGTCAAGGGAAAAATACGGCAATCGCACATATGGATATCAGATATCGATAGTATTAAGGTGAGCGAGTGGGAGGTCCGTAGAAATTATTTGGACGAAGATCTGATTTTTTTCGATTTCTTGGGCTTTTGGAAATCTTTAGATTTTGAGTTCGAACTCTCCGTGGATCGAGCATGGCGCAAAGTCATGAGGGCCATCTTGTAGAGCTTGCTTTGCTCTATCCAATGGTACTTTGAAGCCTATATAAGAATGAAAAGTGTATGACTTATTGCGGTCGAAATTCAAAACGTGCATTAATTATGAACCAACCTAATATTAGGTTGTAGCATAAGTCTTGAGACACTCTAACTTCTTACGGCGATAAGTCATGCACTTCACATTTTCAATAGGATACCAGTGCAACATTTAGAGCAAGGCAAGCCCCTACAAGATAGTCTGCAAAAAATTACATCAGCTTCGACTCACTGTAAGTTTGCATCTAAAATCTGAGTCGTACTAAAGATTTGGAAAAAAAGCGAAAAATTCATATTTCCATCCAAAAAAAACCTACAAATCTCCAGCTTGCTCATAAAATTTCCACACTACATGAGAAACTCATGAGTACCTTTTTCGAGTTTGTTCCTCATTTAGAAATGGAGAAAACGAATCTTTCAAGTTTTCACAAAAACGAAGCTAAGCTGTTCCCCTTATGTAAAGGCCACTGCACGACGAAGGCGCAGAAGCAGTATCACTTGAACGGGCGCGAACGCGGCGCGCGCGTATCCTCACCGTTATAAATCCTGCGCCTCACGCGCTCTGCGGTGCGCCTCACGCGCTCTGCGGCTAATAAAGCCGCGTTCGCGCCCGAAGATATTGAGTCTTTGTCATGTAGCAGCCTATAATTGTATACTACAATACCTTAGAAGTATAACCATAGATTTTCAATTCTCCGCAGGTCTTAGTTTTCAAGAAATGTTGATCTTAGCTCTGCCCACTCGGGTGTTTCATGCTAAAATCAACATTTCTCGAGAACTAGGGCTTGAGGGAAGCTGAAAATTTACGGTTATACTTCTAAGGGGTTGTAATATACAATCATATAAGTGGAGACAGCTTAGCTTCGTTTTTGTGGAAAACTGAAAAATTTCGTCTTCTCGATTTCTAAATGAGGAAATAAATTCGGGAATGGTACGAATGAGTGTGCGATGTAGTGTGTATATTTCATGACCAATTTGGAGATTCTTAGGATTTCTTTGAACGAAGATATGAACTTTTCGCGATTTTTTTCAGTACGACGACTGGATGCAACTTACGATGGCTCAAAGTTTCGGCGCACTTTTGCAGACCATCTTGTAGAGCTGCTTTGCTCTACTGGGCGATGCCCTAGATCTTTGTAAAAAAATATGAAACGTATGACTTGTCGCCGTAAAAAGCTGAAGTAGAGCAAGACTTATGTTACAACCTAATATGTCGCCGAAAGTGGAAGGTCCCGCCCGATATCTGCAACAAATACACATATAGATACATGCACATGCTGTGTATCTGCTGCATTGTCCGCGCGGGACCCTACCACTTTCGGCGACATATACAGGGTGTCCCAAAAGTATGTATACACTGTTTGATCGTTAATATCCCTTTTCCCAAGAGGTCTTCTTTTTACATTCAGGCACCATTTTCTAGAGCTGGCTTCAGCTTAAATCTACAGTATGGTGCAAATCACCGATCGCTCTTCATTACTGTGGGATTACGGTAGAAGCTTCAAGAGAGGTTGTGAGCTATTAGGGGCACTATTCCGCCTTAGAAAACATACGAACAACATAAAATTTTATACCGAGCTAATTCAGATCCCATCCCAACATAAAGTTCGCACTCTACCGTAGCACTTCCTTCATAAGTTATGCCAGGTAACCGCAATAGATATTGCGGTTTACCTGGCATATGATCTCCTCAAAATCTTGATTACACCATTTCAAAAGCTTTCCAAACTCCTAGAAAGTTGAGTAATGAGATCAGCGCACGTAAAGTTCCTGGTACACCACTTTTCAGAATTTTTGGAAACTTTTCTTGAAACACGATTAATCTAGAATGACGTATAAGCTGTGAGTTCCTACCGTAATCCCAAAGTAATGAAGAGCGATCGGTGATTCGCTCCATGATATAAATCTAAGTCAAAGTTAGCTCTACAAAACGGTACCTAAAGGTAGGCAAAAGACTTTTTGGGAAGAGAGATATTAAGATCAAACAGTATGGTGCATACAGTATACATACTTTTGGGACACCTATATTCCTCCATACGTTGGTATTCACTAGCGTGGTGTGAGCACGTAATTGTTGAAAGCAAGAACTTTATTCACTGTTGAATATGCTTACCCACACATCTTTACAAGAAATCTACTCAAACCTCAATCAAATGTATGCCAAAACAACAGCTAAAGTAGCGTAAACCTCGCGCAAAATTAACTCCCGGAGGTTTCGATACTTATTGTTAGTTGCACAATTTTAATGGTATCATACCAGCTGACACAATCAATCTTTATTTTTGTTTTATTTTATAAATACTCTCGAGGTGCACCAGAGAAAAATAAAAGAAGATCCAAACAAACAATGAGATCAGCCAGTCCTCAACCGCAAGAGAAGATAAAAGAAAATACGGAATGAAACAGAACTCGAAGCTCTAGACCCAGCTTGTAAAGTTGAACGAAAGTAACTTGATCAAAGACAATCACATGAACCTTGCATGCTCTAAATTTAGGGATCACATATGAATTCGCTAGTGCTAACGCTTGCGCTCGCAAACAACGCAAAGTGGCTCAAAAAAGCATAAACCTAAAAGTTTGAAATCGACTGGATAATGCTATGTTACGATAGGGATTTTTTTTGGTACAGCTACAATCGAATATGTTTAACTGCGCCACTCCTACAGTAATGTGAGCTCGAAACTAGCACCTGCAATAGTTTTCCGGCTATGAACAAGTAATTGTTATTTCACTCTCAGTCACAGAGCGTTGGAGAAAAGCTTTTCAGTCAAATGAAACCAACGACTCTTCAGAAGCTAGAGCAGTAGAATAAGTCCCAATACCGTTATATTCAGGAATTCTTCGAAAT